ATTTAAAGTTCAAATTTTCTTACAATATTTTTGGATATATTAATAAGGTTCCTAGCAATAACATAATTTCACCACTACCTTTAGTGCAGCCAATTTCTCAAGAAAAAAAGTAACAAAATTATATAGCCAGAACAAGACATGGAAATACTGTCAAAGAGATAAGTGTAAGAATATACATTAACCTGCTAGGAGTACAGTTGGGGCAAATTAGTTAACCATCCTGAACCTCAGTTACTTTTACTGTAAAATGGGCGTAATAATGCTGGCTTTGAGGAATTGTTATGAGGTGCAGATATAATGTACGCTCCTGGCTCATAGGAGGCGCTCAGTGAATTTAACCATTATCATTGCAACAATCTACGTAAGGAATTTCAGAAAGACCCAAGAAAGTGATTGCAATGCTTTAAAATGCTTTTATTGGAGGAGGAATTCAAATATTCATAAAATTTAATAATATTCATGTCAAGTATTAGAGACTCATGATTTTAAAATAATGAATTTAGTAAATAACATATTAGATTTAAATTACTTGTAAATTGTCAAAAAGTCTTTAGAAGTAGCAAAAACTCTTCACCCTTTTTTCTTCTCCAGAGGAAAGATAATCTCAAGCTCCCAGTTCTTTTAGCGTTAGGCTGCCTAGCTCGAGCATAATTTTTATCGCGGCATTCTTTTAGCTTTCTCTGCTTCTTGCTTGATTTAATACATGTCCTTGTAACAGAAGAAAATGGGAGAGGCAAGTTATAATCTATTTGTGTTAAATGTTAACAAAACTTTGTAATTTCTGTTAGTAGTACACGTTCATTAGGGAAGATTATTTAAAATCTCTTATGCGTTCAAGAGCTGTTCTATCTTTTAAGCCAACAAGCAGGCACAGTAATTTCCTCTGAATGATATCATTGCTTGAATATTTCATCCTGTTTATTCCTGGGGGGTTTTGCTGTTCCCCAAATTAACTCGCCTTCCATTTCTAGGAGCCTTTTCATCATCTGACTTGTTCAAGTGGGATGCTTATTATGCACACACACATGCACACGCACACACACAGAGGCAGAACATGGGGTTGAGTTTAGTTGATCTCCACTAAAAAATTTCTTTTGCTTAAATAAGAAAAGCTGCTGAAGGAAAATAATGAATAAATTTCTAAATGAAAAGCTAAATAAATGCTTTTTGACTTTGCCTTTGAAACAGTAGCTGGGGAAAATAATTTACGGTGTAGATTTTATAAAGCCTCTAGGTTTGAGAAGAGATATATAGTGGGCGCAGTTTTACTAACGGTTAGATTATCATACCTCTTTGTGTGCTTGTGATGGTCCTCTTTGGTTGTACATTTGCTGGGAATTCTTCATTTCTCAGAGAAGTATTATTATTAATAGTTGCTGGAATGGGTTTAGTGAACTTCCACTTTGTGGAGTTGCCTCTGCGTTGCAGGGAGCCCTCATCTTATCACAGGTTAATCAAAAAGAGACCGCTGCCCACCCCGTGCTCTCCACCCCTCCTGACCTGAGGTGGCTGACCCCTCCCTTTCAAGGGCAGCATTCCAGGTGCTCTATGAGCAAATGGAGTGCTTTCAGACACAGTGGCTGGACCATCCTACTCCTCAGTTCTTGCCATCTGCGTGGTGTAGGGAAAATGTCCAGGGCTACTCGGCTTTCAGGTGCATTCATATCACCTTTGGTCTTGCTAGGATGCAGATGCTGAGCCAGTAGGTCTGTGGTAGGACCTGTAATTCTGCATTTGTAGCAAGTTCCTAGGTGCTGCCTTTGCTGCTGATTCCACGAACCACACTTTGAGCCACAGGGAAATATTCAATGTTGTTTCTCTGCTGACTACCTGATGTTCCTGCCTGAGATGTACCAACACCACCAGGCCAGCATTTGGTGGGGTCAGGGGAAAATGTGGGAAATTATAAGGTAATTGTATATGAAACATGGCTGGGACATAGAGACTGAGCAGTCCTAAACAGACTGAATATTGCTACATACACTTACCATGAGCTGTAAATCTACAATTTATTTAATTGCTTAGCGGTGCTTTCTTTATTTTTAAGTAGCTTTAGATAGTAATGAACTAAAAAATGAAAATCCATGTTTAAAGAAAAATGACACAATGAATATGGAAGGTAGTGAGAGTGTGTGACGTTCAAATTGTGTGACTGCTTTTACCTTCCCCCACAGTGGGGGGTTGTCACTGGCTACATGGAAACCAGAAGATACATATCACCGAAGAGGCTCTGTCCCAAAGCTTAGAGTGGATCACTTAAAAAAGAAGCTAACATACAGCTGCAGAAGATGTGTTGACATAGCACTCTGTAAAGAAAACTCATCATTTAGATCATGAGTGTTCTAAGTAAACTACATTTATTATCAATTTCAAGCATTTTTAATGAATGTACAAATGTGAATCAAAAACCGTTAATGTGTTGACTCCATTAGCAGAAGAACTTTGCAAGAATTAAGTGAAGCTAGTTTTGTATCAGTGTCATAAGATGCTTTGCAAAGAAAATCAGTTAATTCTAGTAAGATTTGATTTGTTTCATCCAATTCCTGAAATCAAAGTAGAACAGTTGGAAGTTCGTTCTGTTGAAGGTTAAAAATATGACTTTTTTGGTGAGAGCTGTTATAAATTCAATTTAGAAGTTCAATACTGAAGACAAAATTGTTTGTTTTTGTTGTGATAATATAAACACAAATTTTGGTGAAGCACAGCATCATGGTATAAACAATATTCCTATTGGATTAAGAAACCTATGGAACAGAAAATATACTTAGAATTGGTAGTGGTGAACACATAATGTATAAATGAACTCATAAAATATGAGATATTTACTGATTACAAAAGATATTGTAGTTATCTAAGGTTATAAACATTTTGCATGAGCGGTAAGTGATCAAACTGCAAAATTTGACGCTGCAGATCATGTTGAGCAGAGCTCACGTTTCATTTCAGTGGTGTGGGCTTTCCCTCTTGGCAGCCCTTGATTGATCATAGTTTAGGAAAGTTTGAGCCCCTGAAAAACTACTTTGTAAGTTTATAAATGTGTGTCCTGCAACGTGTCCACAATGAAAGTGAATGTACTGTGAATGAATGCTCTAAATTATGGTTATATTTTTCAAAATGGTAGAAAATTTTTAATCGACATATTCAACCCACGGAGCACCAAAAACTTAGCTTTTGAGGCCTTTAGAAATATGCAATTTTAAAAACAAAACTTGCAAACAAGAAAAGATTGAAAATTTTCTGTACAAAAACAAGGGAAGAATTAAATGAATTAAACAATGAGTGCTCAAATGTGTACAAAATGAAATATCTTAACTTGTGGCAAGAAAGATATTTTGGTTGAGCTTCTATTTCTAATGGGAAAAGCTTATACACTGTACCAGAATGAAATGAAATTGAGAAGCCCTATAATTTTGCAGCATATAAAATTGTCAGAATATTCAAAAGAATCATAAATAGAGAAAACTATTTGAAATATTTAGTGTTACAAATTTTTTTGTCACAGTAAGATACTCTGAATGGAAGCAGAAAGACTGTACCTGTCAAAATAACTGGGCTGAAATATTTTTACATTTCAACAAGAAATAAATAAAATTAGAAACATGTTTTTTACAAGAATTTGCTCTGAGCCTACCATGTACCTCTACCCCTTTATAACGAATATTTTCTTATTTAAAAATATTCTGGTCTGCATATAGAAGAGAGACAGTTGACAGTGTCAATGATGACAAATTCATTAACCACAAAATGTAACTTGGAGGAGTCTCAGATAATTTTTAGAAAAACTTTAAAATATTGAGCATGCTGGAAAAATACCAGTGACACAGTGTTAGAGGCAGATAATACTGAGAAACTGATTAAAGCACCTGAATATAACACAGGAATAACTATTTTGTTTGTGTTACTTTTTGGTATTTAGCTAATCAATACAAAGCATTTGAAAATTTCATTTATTGCATTCAGATGTTATTTTTTTATAATTTTACTTTTGAAAATAAGTTTTGAATAGAATTATTTATAGTTCTACTAGTAAACTAAACCAATTTGTTGATCTATACCTACATATACACACGCATGATTTTAATGGTTTTTTTGTGCCTCCTTCCATACTTAAAAGTATCCTCATTTGGATGAGAAATTATATGGTCATTCTGTACATTTATCTTTTATATAAGGACATGAAGAGAAAGTTCCTTCTATTCTTTGGCTCAAATTCGGATTGTCTCTTTAATTATTTTTAATCCATCCAAATGAAACTGAATCCTAGCTGGGAATGACTTTCTGTTTCTCTAGGTTGGTTTAGCTCGAGTCTGCAGCTCTCTCTATTCATTTTCCCTGTTCTCCTTCCCAAGAGAGGTAATGATTTTCTGCAATCCTCTCTCTCCCACACATCCCAGGGTGAGCCTGACTCTTCAGCAGAGATTGATTCTAGAATGGGTAAGTTACTCAATTCTCAATTAAGGGGAAGAAAGGCAGCCTTCGCTGAAGCTCCTGGGAAATGCTATCCTTTCTCTTAAGAGGAAGCCGTGACAAGCTGCACTCTCTTTCCTGCTAGATGTGAATGTTGAAGGATGAAGCACATAACTGCTGTTGCTACTGGCAGCATCCTGAGATCCTCTGGGGAGCCTGCCTTAGCAGAAACTGAAGCTCTGAATGGCAGAGCCAAGAGACAGAAAGAATCCAATCTTTGATGATATCTTTGAACGTCTGACTTCTGGTCTTCTTATTTTGTGAGCCAATGAATAATCTTATTATATAAGTGTTTTTCCTGTGTTGGGTAGTCTGTCACTTGCTGATAAAGGCATTCCAGATGAAACATTTCCCCAGAAGCAGCAGCAGCAAACTCTGTTCTCACTACCCTCCCATAGTCCTCATTTTCCTGCTTCTCAGTTGCCACTTAGCCTGCATGGTCTATAATATATATGTATGTGTATTTTGTGACCCTAATGTGATTATACAATCCTCGAAAGCAGAGACTACACACACAGACACACACATAGAAGAATAATGCTTTTTTTAAAAAACAGTGAGTATAATGATTCGATTTATTAAGTGATTAAACATCTATAATGTCCTAGGTATTATTAATGGCATTTAGGAAACGAGGATGACAAAAATAGATAAGGTTTCTACCTTCATGAAATTTCAGGCAGGACTTTACCAACTGGTCTTAATGTGGTCACATGGCACCTTTACTTGGCTGAATTGTGTCTGTTGTAATAGAGAAGAAAGAAACCTTATTATAGTAGAGAAATTGTCAGACCTTCTATACTTTAGACATAGGATAAGGCAAAGACATGAAAACACTTCATGAACATTTCATTTTCATAAACCACTTTGCAACGATTACCTGTGTATTTCAAACAACGTATTTGTGTCTAAATGATTTGATTTGGCACCTGATTTCCATGTCAGGTATTATGCATGAGTATTACCTTAATATCCAGACTTTTCTTCTGCAATCTGTTCCTCTTCCTGTACACTTAGCATTTAAAAAACCATATTATCCAACCATACAAATTAGGCAACTTGACTTTTTTCTCATTTATCCCCAAGATTTATTGAATTTTTTAACTTATTAATATCTTCTAAGCTCTTTACCTCCCCTCCAGCAAGCTTCCCATTCCACGTAGGCTATGTGACTTGAGGCGAGTTGTCTGTATGCTCAAAACTCTGGTTCCATATCTAAAGTGGGAATAAAAATAGCACTCCCCCTTATAACATTATTGTGAAGATTGAGATAACGTGTGAAAAGTGCAGAGCACCCTGCCAAGCACAGAGTGCTTAATGCATGTTGTCTTTTACTACATTCTCAGTCTTAGTTTAATACTCATCATCTCTCAGTGGGGATTATGTTGAAAGTCTTCTAACTGACATTTCTGTGACTACTTTCTTCTTAGTTTATTTTTTAAATTGTTTTATGTTATTTATTTATTTATTTTTATTGCAGTAAAATTGGTTTATAATATTATAGAAATTTCAGTATATATCATTATATTTCAATTTCTGTGTAGATTACATCATGTTCAGCACCCAAAGACTAATTACAATCCATCACGATATGCATGTGTCTAATCAAATCTTTTGCCCTCCTCCCTTCCCCTTCCCCTCTGGTAACCACAATCCAATCTCTATCTCTCTATGTTTGTTGTTGTTTTTATCTTCTATTTATTAGTGGCCTCACATGGTATTTGACTTTCTTCCTCTGACTTATTTCGCTTAGCATAGTACCCTCAAGGTCCATCCATGTTGTCACAAATGGCCAGATTTCATCCTTTATTATGGCTGATTAGTATTCCATTGTGTATATATACCACATCTTCTTTATCCATTCATCTCTTGATGGGCGCCTACGTTGCTTCCAAGTCTTGGCTATTGTGAATAATGCTGCAATGAACATAGGGGTGCATATGTCTTTATGCATTCGTGTTTTCATGTTCTTTGGATAAATACCCAGAAATGGAATAGCTGGTTCATGTGGTAGTTCTATTCTTAAATATTTGAGGAATCTCCATACTGTTTTGCATAGTGGCTACACCAGTTTGCACTCCCACCAGCAGTGTATGAGAATTCCCTTTTCACCACATCCTCTCCAACACTTGTTATTTCCTGTCTTGTTGATGATAGCCATTCTGATGGGTGTGAGATGATATCTCATTGTAATTTTGATTTATATTGCCCTAATAATTCGTGATGTTTAACATCTTTTCAATAGCCTGTTGGCCTTCTGTATATCTTTTTCAGAAAAATGTCTGTTCAGATCTTTTGCCCATTTTTCAATCGGGTTAGTTTTTTTGTTGTTGAGATGTATAAGTTCTTTATATATTTTGGACATTAACCCTTCATCAGATATATGGTTTGAAAATATCTTCTCCCAATTGTTAGGTTGTCTTTTCGTTTTGTTGATGGTTTCCTTTGCTGTGCAGAAGATTTTTAGTTTGATGTAGTCCCATTTGTTTATTTTTCTATTCTTTCCCTTGCCCAGTCAGACATGGTACTTGAAAATATGCTGCTATGACCAATATCGAAGAGCGTACTGCCTATGTATTCTTCTGTAAGTTTCATGGTTTCAGGTCTTACATTCGAGTCTTTAATCCACTTTGAGTTAATTTTTGTGTATGGTGTGAGATAACGGTCTACTTTCATTCTTTGGCATGTGGCTGTACAGTTTTCCCAACACTAATTATTCAAGAGACTTTCCTTTCTCCATTGTTTGTTCTCAGCTCCCTTGTCAAAAATTAGCAGTCCATAGATGTCTGGGTTTATTTCTGGGCTCTTGATTCTGTTCCATTGACCTGTGTGTCTGTTTTTGCACCCGTACCCTGCTGTTTTTGTTACTATGGCTTTGTAGTATATTTTGAAGTCAGGGAGTCTGATACCTCCAGCTTTGTTCTTTTTTCTCAGGATTCCTTTGGCTATTTGGGGTCCTTTGTTGTTCCATACAAATTTCAGGATTCTTTGTTCTATTTCTGTGAAAAATGTCATTGGAATTTGATAGGGATTTCATTGAATGTAGATTGCTTTAGGAAGTATGGACATTTTAACTATGTTAATTCTTCCAATCCAAGAACATGGAATATCTTTCCATTTCTTGGTGTCGTCTTCTATTTTTCAACAACATTTTATAGTTTTCAGTGTACAGGTCTTTCACCTCTTTGGTTAAGTTTATTTCTAGGTATTTTCTTCTTTTTGTTGCAATAGTAAATGGGATTGTATCTTTAATTTCTCTTTCTGCTACTTCGTTGTTAGCGTGTAGAAACACAACTGATTTTTGTGTGTTGATTTTGTATCCTGAAAATTTACTGTATTCATTTAATTTTTCTAAAAGTTTTCTGGTGGATTCTTTAGGGTTTTCTATATATAAAATCATATCATCTGCAAATAGTGACAGTTTCGCTTCTTCCTTTCCAATTTGGATCCCTTTTATTTCTTTTTCTTCCTGATTGCTCTGGCTAGGACTTCCAAAACTATATTAAATAAGAGTGGAAAAACTGAGCATCCTTGTCTGGTTCCTGTTCTTAGAGGGATAGCTCTCAGTTTTTCTCATTGAGAGTGATATTAGCTGTGGGTTTGTCATATATGGCCTTTATTATGTTGAGGTAGTTTCCTTCTACACCCATTTTATTCAGAGTTTCCATCATAAGTGGATGCTGCATCTTGTCAAAGGCTTTCTCTGCGTCTATTGAGATGATCATGTGACTTTTATTCTTATTTTGTTAATGTGGTATATCACATTGATTGATTTGCAATTGAACCATCCCTGCATCCCTGGGATACATCTCACTTGATCATCATGTATGATCTTTTAAATGTATTGTTGTATCCGATTTGCTAGTATTTTGTTGAGGATTTTTGCATCTGTGTTCATCAATGATATTGGCCTGTAATTTACTTTTTTTGTGTTGTCCTTCTCTGGTTTTGGTATCAGCGTGATGTTGGCTTCATAGAATGAGTTAGAAGCTTCCTCTCCTCTTCAACTTTTTGGAAGAGTTTGAGAAGTATAGGTGTTAAGTCTTCTTTGAATGTTTGGTAGAATTCAACAAGGAAGCCATCTGGTCCTAGATTTTTATTTTTGGGGAGGTTTTTGATTACTGTTTCAATCTCCTCACTGGTGATTGGTCTATTCAAATTCTCTATTTCTTCTTGATTCAGTTTTGGAAGGTTGTATGATTGTAAGAATTTATCCATTTCTTCTCGATTATCCAATTTGTTGGCATATAACTTTTCATAGTATTCTCTTATAATCTTTTGTATTTCTGAGGTGTCCATTGTAATTTCTCCTCTTTCATTTCTGATTTTATTTATTTGAGCCTTCTCTCTTTTTTAATTGGTGAGTCTAGCTAAAGGTTTGTCAATTTTATCTTTTCAAACAACTAGCTCTTAGTTTCACTGATTTTTTTCTATTGTGTTTTTAGTTGCCATCTCATTTATTTCTGCTCTGGTTTTTATTATTTCCTTCCTTCTACTGATTTTGGGCTTTGTTTGTTCCTCTTTTTCCAGTTCCTTTAGGTGCACTGTTAGATTGTTTATTTGAGATTTTTCTTTTGAGGTAGGCCTGTATTGCTATAAGCTTCCCTCTTAGAAAAGTTTTTGTTGTGTCCCATAAATTTTGGCATGTCATATTTTCATTTCATTTGTCTCCAGGTAGCTTTTGATTTCTCCTTTGATTTCCTCATTGACCCAGTCGTTGTTTTGCAGCATTTTGTTTAATATCCACATATTTGTGTCTTTTCCAATTTTCTTCCTGTCGTTGATTTCTAGTTTCATACCAATGTGGTCATAAAAGATGCTTGGTATTATTTCAGTCTTCTTAAATTTATTTGGACTTGTTTCATAGCCTGATATGTGATTTATCCTGGAGAATCTTCCATGTGCATTTGAAAAGAATGTGTATTCTGTGGTCTTGGGATGGAATGTTCTGTATATACCTACTAAGTCCGTCTAATCTTTTGTGTCGTTTAAGGTCAATGTTTCTTATTTATCTTTTGTCTGGATGATCTATCCATTGGTGTAAGTAGAGTGTTAAAGTCCTCTACTATTGTTGTGTTGCTGTCTATTTCTCCTTTTATGTCTGTTAATAATTGCCTCATATATTTAAGTGCTCTGATGTAGGGTGCATAGATAGTTACAAGTGTTATATCCTCTTGTTGGATTGTTCCCTTGATCATTATGTAATGCCCTTCTTTTTCTCTTTTTACAGTTTTTGTTTTAAAGTCTATTTTGTCTGATATAAGTATTGCTACCCCAGCTTTCTTTTCTTTTCCATTTGCATGGAATATCTTTTTCCATCCCTTCACTTTCAGGTTGTGAGTGTCTTTAGGTTTGAAGTGTGTCTCTTGTATGCAGCATATATATGGGTCTTGTTTTTTATCCTGTTGGCCACCTTATGCCTTTGGATTGGAGCATTTAGTTCATTGACATTTAAAGTAGCTATTGATAGGAATGTGCTTATTGCCATTGTGTTACTTTTTTTCTGGCTGTTTTAGTAATTCTTCTCTGTTCCTGTCTTCTTCT